CCCCAAAACCCCAAAACCCCAAAACCCCATTCAAGATGGGACTATATGGGTAGAGATTTTCTAAAAAAATAAATAATTTCCTTCGAATTTTGAGTCATTTCAATTAAAATATTAAATTTATCAATATTTAAAGAGATAATTTAAGCGAGCAATTTATTAAAGAATAATATGTAATTAGTCGAGCAGCGTTATGACGATCTGGGCTCCAATTCTACTGCCTAGATGTCCCGAATACTGAAAGGAAGCTTTCTATTGAATGATTAAATATTGGCAAAGAGAGAGTTATTTTAAGGTAAAATAAAATAAAAGAAAACGGTAACCTTTGAATAGAAATACATAACTTTCACAAAGCAATAGACACTAGCAGTATGATTGATGAGGAATCAAAGAACAAAGATTCCTTCGAAATGGACGGAGATCAGCATGAAGATAGCAATTAGATGCATTATCCTAACTAGATCGTCCTTGAACTTAATGAAGAAGAGAAGGAGAGAATAGCCTAGGCTGCTAAGGAGGATGGAGAGAATGTTCAAGATTAGCTCTAGGAGAAGTAGCACGAGTTCGATTAAGAACTTGTTGAATTCAATTTAAAATTTGAGTAGTCCATTGAAAACCACATCAATTCGAATGCATTTACAGATAGGAAAATAATTGGATCTCTTTTGGGTATGAGTGTGTTTGGTGGAGTTGGGTTTTTGGTTTTCAGTGGGGCTATTACTTTCGGAATAAGTGGAGGTAAGTTAGTTTGAATAAATTTTTATCTCTTACAGAATACAATACAGTCATTTCACTATGGTTATAATATAATTTTGATTTTAGGGGTGCTCGGAATTGTCTTGGGCGGAGTTATAGGAAGTCGCATTCGAAGGAAAGTTGATTTGAAGAAGTTGACAGTTGATCAGTATTTATCATTTAAGATCACACAGATAATTAAGTGGACAAATAAAAATTACAAAAAGCTAGATTAGCTGTGGTTTGCCATTCTAGTAGAAAAAGTATCCAATAAGATAGAATTAAACTAACTTGTATTAGATTTTGATGGAAACCAAGACGCTCCAAGAATATGCAGATAAAAAACCTGCTTAAAAAACTTTACCTCTGTACTCTATATATTTTATCTTATCCAATTATAATAGAGTAAGGAAGTTCTTAACAAGTAAAAGATCCTTGACTCTTCTAGAAAGTCACATTCCTACTATTGAAGAATTCATCAAATTTGAAGAAGTAGACTAGAAAAAGTAAGTTTACTCATAAATAACAATATGCTATTTATATACCTATGATGCTAAAACTCTTAATAGAACAATCTATAAGACCTTTAATTTCTATATTCCATTTTTGCAGTTCCTCAAACTTAGTAAAGCTTTCAAGAAATATCAGAGCATGAATATCTATAAGAAGCTGGTTGCTTTGGTTTACTCTCATGAACTGATCAACAGTATCATTAGAGTAGTCGAGGAGAGTAAAACTGATTAGAGATTTGGATTTAGCCTTGATCACGAATCGGTTATATTCTTGCCAGATGAGTACGACATTTTAGAGACATTTAAATAAGCAGTCAATCACAAGGATAACGAGCCTTTTGCTCTGCTTAAGAAGAGAGTTATTCAGTATATATGCATTGAGGAATTGGTAGAGGAGCAAAGGCGAGAGGAACTTGAGAAGAGGAGATTCACCAATGATCTCAATAATAGTCATTAGTAGTAGCATAGGAATTAGAACCATTCAATGTATAAAGAAAATAACTCATATAATGATGATCTCAAGAATGTAGAAACTTAACAGCGGTTTCTCATCCAGCCAGAAATATAGAAGTTCCCTCCATAATTTTCACTCATCAAAGAATCTCCTATAAAAGCTGATTTTAATACTTATGGAAAAGGCTACGAAGGCCCTCATCATTTGAATTAAGTAATGGATAAGTAACTAAGTTTAGCTCGTGGTGACTAAGAAGGAGTTGATGAGGAAAACATCTCATTCAGGCAGAGAAGTTAGAGATAGAGTCTGCTTGATAAATAACTCAGTGACGAAAGCACTACTAATAATGCCTCTGAGGAATAAAAGCAGAACAATAAGTATCGCTTGGAGGATGGCATGGATGCACCTCCTCAGATAGTGAAAAGCAGATCAGTAGAACCTTTAGACCAGGACTTCACTAATCTAATGAGAGTAGCTGTAGAGGATGTAACTTCTTGGGAGAAAGCTTGCACAGGCGAGAACATCAGTGTATATAAGAAAATGACTGAAGGATCTCCTATCGTGCTGCTTAAAGCGTTTGCATTAATCAAAGGTGTTGATCCATTAACAGTCTTTGAAGTTATGTCAAACTAGGAGATCAGAAGGCAGTGGGACAAGGTTGTTTGTGGTTTTGAAATAATCGAAGATGATCCGCAACTAAATCTCTCTGTTATATACTATATGATAAAAACGCCAATAGGAATCAGTAACAGAGATTTTGTTTAGCAAAGGAAAATAAAGTTAGATTTTCCTAATGATGGAATGATAACTATGCACTTTAAGAGTGTTAAATGCAGCAAGTGTCCTGAAAAGCCAAGAACTATCAGAGCAGAGACAATCATCAGTGGATATATATTGGAGAAAATCAAGAATAAAGATGGCTCTGTTGATACAGCCATCACAATTATTAGTCAGAATGACATTAAAGGCATTGTTCCAAAGGCTATAGTAAACATGGTTTCAGGAAAAGCTCCAAAGTAATGGGTTTAAAATCTAGTAAAAGGATGCACAGATTATCTTAATGGAGTATATACAAAGTGAATAGTTTCTTTTAAAATGGAGTAAAATTATCAGCAGTGTCTAGTAATGAAACCTACTAAGCTTATACTATAATTACAGAACTAAATTTTCTAAAATATAATTATCAATAAAAATATTAGTGTTCTTAATTTCAGAAACATTACATAAATAGATTAATGGGGTTTTGGGGTTTTGGGG